GTGAATCTGGCTTCCCCAATTGAGTTTGCTTATCCGAAGGTCGCAAAAGGGGACATTGCAACCGTCATAAATACATAAATACAATTCTCCGAATTTTGATCAAGTGACCATGGAGATGCCCGCTACGGTCGTTAAGTGTGGGGAAAAAAAGGTCATAGGTCATTTTTTTCGATGCTGTTGTAAGTTCGGTCACTAAATGAACTGGTGTAAATCGAGGACTACCTGTACAATATCCTAATGTCGATCTGACAGACGGGTTTTGGGCTTGTTGTTATTGTTGTTGTTTTGCGATGTAGTGGAATAATGACCCTCACTTAATTACTTGGTTAAGCATTGAGGCATTGTAGAATATGGGTTAATTCAGTAGCCAGGTTAAACATGTTGTGTGAATGAAACCCCAAGCTAGTTGAAAGAATAAGAGTATTTGCATTTGGGGCAAGGGCCGGCTGATTTAAAGGCCCTCTAATATTCGCCAAAGGTATAATTGGAAGGGATCTTGGAGATCATTTAGTCCAGGGGTCTGCAATCTTAAATACTCAAAGAGTCATTTGGACCCGTTTCCTGCAGAAAAAAAACCACCGGGAACCACAAAACCTGGGTGGGCGTGGCCAACTCGATGTCACTCACTTCCACCGGTCACATGACACCCCCTAGCCACGCCTACCCAGCCGGTCATTAGGGCAGAGAACCAGTTGTTAAAAAACACCGGGAACCACAAAATCCTTTTGACATATCTCTCTCTCCCCTCCCTCCCTCTCTCTTCCCCTCTCTCTGTATCTCTCTGTCTCTGCCCTGATCGCTTCTCCATCCCTGGCCGTCGCCCTTACCTTCTCAGGCCAGGTGAGGAGTGACTGGGAGGGGAGGGCAAGGGGCAGGGCCAGCCAGTGGTGGGATCACCTGACAGGGAGCCACAGCAGAGGACCCAAAGAGCCACATTTATTTATTTATGTATTTATATATGTATGTATGTATGTATGTATATATTTATTATATTTCTATACCGCCTTTCTCCCGTAGGACTCAAGGCGGTATACAGTCAAGAAAAATATAGATACACAAACATCATAAAATTGCTAATTAAAATTATTACTTAGTTTGGTCAATTAAATAAAACCCAGAATTAGATAACATTAAAAAAAAAAATCATTCACATGTTCATATGTTTAGCCCCGCCTGTTGGAACATCAGGGTCTTGAGGGCACGGCGAAAGCACGGAGATCAGGGATATTCCGTATCTCACGGGGCAGTTCATTCCAAAGGGTTGGAGCCCTCACAGAGAAGGCCCTCCCCCTGGGAGTCGCCAGTCGACATAATTTGACTGACGGTACCCTGAGTAGTCCCTCCCTGTGAGAACGAACTGGTCGGTGGGAGGCTATTGGCGGCAAAAGACGGTCTCGTAGGTACCCAGGTCCTAAGCCATGGAGCGCTTTAAAGGTGATAACTAACACCTTGAATCGCACCCGGAAGACCACCGGGAGCCAGTGCAGCTTGCGTAGGAGAGGTGTTACATGGGCGTAACGAGCTGCGCCCATAATCACCCGCGCGGCTACATTCTGGACCAGTTGGAGCCTCCAGGTGCTTTTCAAGGGGAGCCCCATGTAGTAGTCCAGACGGGAGGTGACTAGGGCATGAGTGACCATGCGCAAGGCGTCCCGATCCAGAAAGGGACGCAACTGGCGGATCAGGCGAACCTGATAAAAGGCACCCCTGATTTAGTCCAACCCCTGGCTGTCTTAAAATTATGTAGCTATTCAGTCAGGCCATTTCAAGAACGAAGTGATTATGTTAATAACCCGAGTTAATTATAAGTCAGTGTGAGACACGGCGCCCTGAAGGTAAAATATTACTCAATTCTAAATACGCCACTGTCTGACTTATATCCTGAAAATGGGAAAATTGTACCTAGGAGCAATCCTATCCACTGCCTTCCCGAACAAACATCGTCCGTTTTTGGAAATCTAGCTTCTCAGGGATCGGGGTTTATCCTTTAACTTTCTCTCTGACTTATCTGTTTGCCAAAGGCAGGGAAAATGCTTGGAAAATAAAATTTTGCTGTAAACTGGCTAGAAGCCTGAGTGGCGTAGGAGGCTAATGCCTCCTACTAAGGCAGCATTTAACATCCAGCTGCCTGCAATTACTGTGAGTTCAATTCTCACCAGGCTCAAGGTTGACTCAGCCTTCCATCCTTTCTAAGGTAGGTAAAATGAGGACCCGGTTTGTGGGGGCAATAAACTGACTTTGTATAAAATATACAAAAGTATGAAGGCTATTGATTAACGCATTGTAAGCTGGCCTGAGTCTCCGGAGAAGGGCAGCATATAAAAATAAATAAAAATAAAAAAATAAAATAAAAATAAATAATTAATTTATTATTAATAATTCCCTTAACCCTCTCAAGCTGAAATCGGAGGATCGGCTGACAATCTTGGCAAGGTTAGCCGCTTTTCCAAAGGCCTAGGATTTTTATTTATTAGCCAGGATTTGGGTGTCGCTTTAATCCTAGACTCCAAGGCCTTTAGGATAATGTTTTTTTTCCCAATCCTGGCCACTTGAAGACCTGTGGACTTCAACTCCCAGAATTCCCCAGCCGGCATTTATAACTCTACCTCTTTACCGACTTACTTTGATATTCTTTAAAACCACCCTGCCCAACAAACCAGGATGATGTGGCTACCTAGATGGCCAATGTCAGAAAGTTCATTCTCGGTTTATCTGAAAACCACTTAGCAAAGGCCAAAGGGTGGATATCTGAATCACCAACTCTTTTATCGCATCCCAGAACTTCCCCTTTCTTTGCAAAGAAAACTGGGCTGCATTCACACAACCCACCTAACTTTCCTTCCAGGAAAATCAGGCTGCATTCACATGACACGCTGATTTTTTTTTTCCCCCACTCCAGGATAACCAAGCTGTATTCACATGACAGCTTAACTTTCCTTCCAAGATAACCAGTCCGCACTCACACAACGTGTTTAACTTTTTTTCCAGGATAACCAGGCTGCATTCACACAACATGTTTAACTTTCCTTCCAAGATAACCGAGTGGCATTCACACGAAACGCTCAACTTTCCTTCCAGGAGAACCAGTGAGGGTGAATTCCCACAGCACAATTACGGTTACTTCTACCCCCCCCCCCCCCCCCCCCCCAGGATAACAAAGCCACACCAAAGCTTAACTTTTGCCCCCCAGGATAACCAGGCTGCATTCACACGATTGGGTTATTTTTCCAGCATAACCAAGCTGAATTCACAGGAAACACTTAACTTTCCTTCCAGGATAACCAGGCCACATTCAGATGACCCACTGGGTTATTTTTTTTCCTGCCTAACTAAACTTCATTCACACAAATAGCTGAACTTTCCTTCCAGGAGAACCAGGCTGCATTCACAGACACAATTTAACTTTATTTCCCAGGCTGAATTCACAAGAAAAGCGGAACTTTCCTTCCAAAAGATAACCAGGCCGCATTCACACAACATGTTTGACTCTCCTTCCAGGACAACCAGGCCTCATTCACACAAAGCGCTTAACTTTTGCCGCCCAGGATCACCAAGCTGTGTTCACACGAATTACAACTTTCCTTCCAGGATAACCAGGCCGCATTCACACCACACGCTGAATTGTTTTTCCAGCCTAACCCAGCTGTATTTACAGGACACGCTTTTTACTTTCACAGGCACAAATTAACTTTATTTCTCAGGCTGAATTCACCAGAAAGGCTGAACTTTCCTTCCCAAAGATAACCAGGCCGCATTCACACAAAGTGCTTAACTTTGGCCCCCCAGGATCACCAAGCTGTATTCACACGAATTACAACTTTCCTTCCAGGCGAAACCAGGCTGCATTCACACAACATATTTAACTTTCCTTCCAGGACAACCAGGCTTCATTCACACAAAGCGCTTAACTTTTTCCCCCAGGATCACCAAGCTGTGTTCACACGAATACAACGTTCCTTCCAGGAGAACCAACACGCTGAATTGTTTTTCCAGCCTAACCCAGCTGTATTTACAGGACACGTTTTTTACTTTCACAGGCACAAATTAACTTTATTTCCCAGGCTGAATTCACAAGAAACGCTGAACTTTCCTTCCCAAAGAGAACCAGGCCTCATTCACACAACATGTTTAACTTTCCTTCCAGGATAACCAAGCCTCATTCACACAAAGTGCTTAACTTTTGCCCCCAGGATAACCAAGCTGTATTCACATGAATTACAACTTTCCTTCCAGGAGAAACCAGGCCGCATTCACACCACACGTTTAAACTTTATTTCCCAGGCTGCTGAATTCACCAGAAAGGCTGAACTTTCCTTCCCAAAGAGAACCAGGCTCCATTCACACAAAGTGCTTAACTTTTGCCCCTTCCTTCCCGGATAACCAGGCCACATTCACACAGACAGGCTGAATTATTTTTCCAGCCTAACCCAGCTGTATTTACAGGACACGCTTTTTACTTTCACAGACACAATTTAAGTTTATTTCCAGGCTGAATTCACACAACACGCTTTCCTTTTCCTTCCAGGTGAAACCAGGCTGCATTCACAGGACACGTTTTAACTTTGATTTCCCAGGCTGCTGAATTCACCAGAAAGAAAGGCTGAACTTTCCTTCCCAAAGAGAACCAGGCTCCATTCACATACAACACGCCGATTTCTCCCCCCCCCCATCCCCAACACACACCCAGACCCAGGATAACCAACATGCATCATTCCCACGACCCGCTTCAACCAGCGCAACCCGTCCCGCCCTGCCTCGGTCGGTGCCCAGCCGAAAAAAAAACCCAAAAAGGAAAACCATCCCCGAGGCTTCCAGGAGTTCCCAAGCGCGCAATTCTGGCTGCCTTTCCAGGCTGGGTTCCCGCTTCCCGGGGTGGAGTGGAGTGGTGGTCGGGGGGCCGAGGCGGGCTGGGGTCTCTCTGTATCTCTCTCCCCGGGACTTTGGCTTTCCTCCCTGGGCTGGGCTGGGCTGGGCTGGGCTGGGCTCCCTTGCTGGCTCACCCAAGCGGAGGAAAAGCACCACGCTGAACATGGAGAGCAAAGTGGGCACCACGACGCCCAGGAAAGTGGAGAGCTTGCGGGACGTCGGGGCCGCTTCGTCCGGCTCCAGCGACGAGCTGCTGCAAAGCCGGTAAGCCAGCAACGGGCTCCGCTCCGACAGGCCGCCGCCGCTCCGACGGCCGGGCATGATCCCCTCCTCCGCCGCCGCCGGTGCTGCTGCTGCTGGTTGCGCGCACAACGACCGCTCCGATTGCGAACCGGCCTCTCCGCAGCCCGGCCTTTCCCCGGACGCACCGCCCTCCCGGCCAGCCCCGATCCCCGCCTCCTTGTCCCGGCTCAACCCCGAGCGCTTGTCCGGCTGGAGGCAAAAAAAAAAAGAGCGAAGCACCGGCCGGGTTTGAGCTCTGCCTGGAAACCTCCGCTCCGTTCAGACGACTCCGGTGGAAGAAGCGAAGTTGCGAAAAGTGGGCGCGTTCCCACGGCAGGCTGGCTGGCTGGGTTGGGCTGCTGGACTGTGAGCCGGGAAGCGAAGCGCAAGGAAGAGTTGGGTGTAGGCAACAATGGGGTTTCCCCCCACAACACCACCACCACCACCAGGGGTGAAATCCAGCGCTACCGGTTCTGGCGAACCGGTAGTGGAAATTTTGAGCAGTTGGGAGAACTTGTTTATTTCAGCAAGCGGGGCTGGGTTCAAAATCTTTTAGTTGGGGAATTTGATGGGTAAGGGGTTTTCAATGGGGGGGGGAGCCAAAGATAAATTTAATTTCGTTTTTATAGTATTTTAATGTTTATATTGTATGTTTTTTTTTTTTTTTAATTTTGGCTGTTCACCGCCCCGAGTCTTTCGGGAGAGGGGGCGGTATAAAAAAGAAAAGAAAGAAAGAAAGAAAGAAAGAAAGAAAGAAAGAAAGGGAAGGAAGGAAGGAAGGAAGGAAGGAAGAAAGAAAGAAAGAAAGAAAGAAAGAAAGAAAGGAGGGAGGGAGGGAGGGAGGGAGGGAGGGAGGGAGGGAAGGAAGAAAGAAGGAAGGAAGGAAGGAAGGAAGGAAGGAGGAAGGAAGGAAGGAAGGAAGGAAGGAAGGAAGGAAGGAAGAAGGAAGGAGGGAGGGAAGGAAGGAAGAAAGAAGGAAGGAGGAAGGAAGGAAGAAAGAAGGAGGGAGGGAAGAAAGAAAGAAAGAGAAGGAAGGAAGGAAGGAAGGAAGAAAGAAAAAGAAAGAAAGAAAGAAAGAAAGAAAAGAAAGAGAAAGAAAGAAAGAAAGAAAGAAAGAAAGAAAGAAAGAAAGAAAGAAAGAAAGAAAGAAAGAAAGAAAAAAGAAAGAAAGAAAGAAACGGCAAATGCCACCTCTGGCTGGCTCCAGAGCAGGGTGGGAATGGAGATTTTGCAATATCCTTCCCCCTGGAGTGGGGAGGGAATGGGGATTTTTGCAGAATCCTTCCTCCTGGAGTGGGGAGGGAATGGGGATTTTTGCAATATCTTTCCCCCTGGAGTGGGGAGGGAATGGGGATTTTGGGGAATCCTTCCCCTGGAGTGGGGAGGGAATGGGGATTTGGCAATATCCTTCCCCTGGAGTGGGGTAGGAATGGGGATTTTGCAGAATCCTTCCCCTCCAGTGGGGGGGAATGGGGATTTTGCAGAATCCTTCCCCTGCCACGCCCACCAAGCCACACCATGCCCACCAAGCCATGCCCACAGAACCAGTAGTAAAAATATTTGGATTTCACCACTGCCCCCCCACCCCTCTTACAGGTAGTCCTCGACTTAGAACCCTTCGTTTTTTAGTGACTGTTCGAAGTTACAACCGCACTGAGAAAAAAGTGGCTTTTTCTATAGGCCTTCTGCATTAAAAAAGAGAATGGTTGCAGGAATTGGGCATGGCTAGTCTATAGAGAAGAGAAGGACCAGGGGGTGGGGCATGATAGCATCTTCCAATATTTGAGGGTCTGTCACAGAGGGGAGGGGGTCAAGCTATTTTCCAAAGGAAGGAAGGAAGGAAGGAAGGAAAAGAAATAGCACTTAGACTTATATACCGCTTCACAGTGCTATTTACAGCTCTCTCTAAGCGGTTGACAGAGTCAGCCTCTTGTCCCCAACAATCTGGGTCCTCATTTTACCGACCTTGGAAGGATGGAAGGAAGAAAGAAAGAAAAGAAAGAAAGAAAGCGAGAGAGAAAGGAAGGAAGGAAGGAAGAAAGAAAGGAAGAAAGAAGAAGAAGAAAAAGAAAGAAAGAAAGAGAAAGAAAGAAAGAAGAAAGAAGAAAGAAAGAAAGAAAGATATCTGAGTGAACCATGGATGGACAGAAGACATGGCTAGTCTAGTGAAGAGAAGGACCAGGGGGGACATGAGAGCAGTCTTCCAATATTTGAGAGGCTGCCCCAGAGAGGAGGGGATCAAGCTATTTTCCAAAGCAAAAGGAAGGAAGGAAGGAAGGAAGAAGGGAGGGAGGATAGTGGAAGGGAGGGAAGGGAGGAAGGAAGGAAGGAAGGAAAGAAAGAAAAAGAGAAAAGAAAGAAAAAGAAAGAAAGAAAGAAGAAAGAAAAAAAAGAAGAAGAAAGAAAGAAAGAAGAAAGGAAGGAAGGAAGGAAGGAAGGAGGAAGGAAGAAAGAAGAAAGAAAGAAGAAAGAAGAAAGAAAAGAAAGAAAGAAAAGAAAGAAGAAGAGGGAGGGAGGGAGGGAGGGAGGGAGGGAGGGAGGGAGGGAGGGAGGGAAGAAAGAAGGAAGGAAGGAAGGAAGGAAGGAAGGAAGGAGGAAGGAAGGAAGGAAGAAGGAAGGAGGGAGGGAAGGAAGGAAGGAAGAAGGAAGGAGGAAGGAAGGAAGAAAGAAGGAGGGAGGAAGAAAGAAAGAAGAAGGAAGGAAGGAGGAAGGAAGGAAGAAAGAAAGAAAGAAAGAAAGAAAGAATAAAGAAAGAAAGAAAGAAAGAAAGAAACCGGCAAATGCCACCTCTGGCTGGCTCCAGAGCAGGGTGGGAATGGAGATTTTGCAATATCCTTCCCCTGGAGTGGGGAGGGAATGGGGATTTTTGCAGAATCCTTCCTCCTGGAGTGGGGAGGGAATGGGGATTTTTGCAATATCCTTCCCCCTGGAGTGGGGAGGGAATGGGGATTTTGGGGAATCCTTCCCCTGGAGTGGGGAGGGAATGGGGATTTGGCAATATCCTTCCCCCTGGAGTGGGGAGGGAATGGGGATTTTTGCAGAATCCTTCCCCTGGAGTGGGGTAGGAATGGGGATTTTGCAGAATCCTTCCCCTGCCACGCCCACCAAGCCACACCATGCCCACCAAGCCATGCCCACAGAACCAGTAGTAAAAATATTTGGATTTCACCACTGCCCCCCACCCCTCTTACAGGTAGTCCTCGACTTAGAACCCTTCGTTTTTTAGTGACTGTTCGAAGTTACAACCGCACTGAGAAAAAGTGGCTTTTTCTATAGGCCTTCTGCATTAAAAAAGAGAATGGTTGCAGGAATTGGGCATGGCTAGTCTATAGAGAAGAGAAGGACCAGGGGGTGGGGCATGATAGCATCTTCCAATATTTGAGGGTCTGTCACAGAGGGGAGGGGTTCAAGCTATTTTCCAAAGGAAGGAAGGAAGGAAGGAAGGAAAAGAAATAGCACTTAGACTTATATACCGCTTCACAGTGCTATTACAGCTCTCTCTAAGCGGTTGACAGAGTCAGCCTCTTGTCCCCAACAATCTGGGTCCTCATTTTACCGACCTTGGAAGGATGGAAGGAAGAAAGAAAGAAAAGAAAGAAAGAAAGCGAGAGAGAAAGGAAGGAAGGAAGGAAGAAAGAAAGGAAGAAAGAAGAAGAAGAAAAAGAAAGAAAGAAAGAGAAAGAAAGAAAGAAAGAAAGAAAGAAAGAAAGATATCTGAGTGAACCATGGATGGACAGAAGACATGGCTAGTCTAGTGAAGAGAAGGACCAGGGGGGACATGAGAGCAGTCTTCCAATATTTGAGAGGCTGCCCCAGAGAGGAGGGGATCAAGCTATTTTCCAAAGCAAAAGGAAGGAAGGAAGGAAGGAAGAAGGGAGGGAGGATAGTGGAAGGGAGGGAAGGGAGGAAGGAAGGAAGGAAGGAAAGAAAGAAAAAGAGAAAAGAAAGAAAAGAAAGAAAGAAAGAAAGAAAAAAGAAGAAGGAAGAAAGAAAGAAAGAAAGAAAGAAGGAAGGAAGGAAGGAAGGAAGGAAGGAAGGAAGAAAGAAGAAAGAAAGAAAGAAAGAAAGAAAGAAAGAAAGAAAAGAAAGAAAGAAAGAAAGAGGGAGGGAGGGAGGGAGGGAGGGAGGGAGGGAGGGAGGGAGGGAAGAAAGAAGGAAGGAAGGAAGGAAGGAAGGAAGGAAGGAGGAAGGAAGGAAGGAAGAAGGAAGGAGGGAGGGAAGGAAGGAAGGAAGAAGGAAGGAGGAAGGAAGGAAGAAAGAAGGGGGAGGGAAGAAAGAAGAAAGAAAGAAGGAAGGAAGGAAGGAAGGAAGGAAGAAAGAAAGAAAGAAGAAAGAAAGAAAGAAAGAAAGAAAGAAAGAAACCGGCAAATGCCACCTCTGGCTGGCTCCAGAGCAGGGTGGGAATGGAGATTTTGCAATATCCTTCCCCCTGGAGTGGGGAGGGAATGGGGATTTTTGCAGAATCCTTCCTCCTGGAGTGGGGAGGGAATGGGGATTTTTGCAATATCCTTCCCCCTGGAGTGGGGAGGGAATGGGGATTTTGGGGAATCCTTCCCCTGGAGTGGGGAGGGAATGGGGATTTGGCAATATCCTTCCCCCTGGAGTGGGGAGGGAATGGGGATTTTTGCAGAATCCTTCCCCTGGAGTGGGGTAGGGAATGGGGATTTTGCAGAATCCTTCCCCTGCCACGCCCACCAAGCCACACCATGCCCACCAAGCCATGCCCACAGAACCAGTAGTAAAAATATTTGGATTTCACCACTGCCCCCCACCCCTCTTACAGGTAGTCCTCGACTTAGAACCCTTCGTTTTTTAGTGACTGTTCGAAGTTACAACCGCACTGAGAAAAAAGTGGCTTTTTCTATAGGCCTTCTGCATTAAAAAAGAGAATGGTTGCAGGAATTGGGCATGGCTAGTCTATAGAGAAGAGAAGGACCAGGGGGTGGGGCATGATAGCATCTTCCAATATTTGAGGGTCTGTCACAGAGGGGAGGGGGTCAAGCTATTTTCCAAAGGAAGGAAGGAAGGAAGGAAGGAAAAGAAATAGCACTTAGACTTATATACCGCTTCACAGTGCTATTACAGCTCTCTCTAAG